CTGTTTTGTGATTGGTCAAGGGATGTTTCAACCGCCGTTCTGTGATTGTAAGGGGTACTGTAGTTGCCGATCTGTGATTGGTTGGAGGATTCTGTAGTCGTTGTTCTGTGATTGGTTAGGAGAGTTGCGACATCCCTTGAACAATCACAAAATAGTGGCTATTGTATTGTTTCATCAGTCTAGTTACCGCAACCTGATTACATGACCATCGGCGAAGATAGATAACATTTAAGGACATCATTTCGCAATTCGGTCAGGGACAGTATAATCAAGATACGTTTGGTAGGATGCCGTGATTGTTGATCTGTATTTGATCATTCTTCCGGAGAAGAGTAATAAAGTCGGTCAGTAGGTCCGAAACAAAATTACTGATAAAGTGGTATCATTTCTTAAGACGTAGCAGGTTTTTTTTTGGTGAATTCAAAATCGCTTATGGCTTAAACAGATTGCAAGATTTTACACGTACTCTCGTATCGCTGAAATGTTGTAAAAACAGTAATCAGTATTCGTTGCACTCGTATCTATTACTTCGATGAGAAGTTTTCAGGTCTTGTGTTTGCATCCAAATTTCCTGCTCGACATCTTCAGCATCAGCAATTCTGGCGAAGTAAGAATGGAATTAAAATTGAAAAGATTGTAAAATTGATAATTTGAAATGATTATGTACAAATCAAGACATTCTGCAGTTTCAAAAAAGCATGATTTTAAGTCTGAACGAATTATAAGCTATTGTGTATAAAATGATCAATTTTGATATATCTTGCAAATTTGTAAGTTCAAGCGTATCTCGAGATTACAGGAATCTGCTTACAAAATGCACTTCGCAAAATAGGTTTGATATTGGATTAATTCTCAATGATTTTAATTAAGTCCAAAAAAGAGTGACGCTGATTTTGAGCTTCATAAATTCATCACTTTTACATGAATACGCTTCTTCTCTATAAAGTTCAAAAAGAATAACTGTTAAGGAACATTTACGTTTATATCACGAAAAAGTTTTGTTCTTAAAGAAGATTTAGCAAACGAGAGTCTAATTCCAAATTATATCAAATACATGCTATCGTTAGATTATAGGTCGCATAAATCATACTGTCACTTTATAGGAGCATTCAAACTGAATATTTTCCAAAAATATTAGAAGTTTGAATATGTGATTGATTGAACGCAATGTTAGCACGGTTTTGAACTTTCTCAACTGATTTAATTACCAATTAGAAGCAACTTTATTGGCAAGATTATTTTTGAAAGATTTTCCTTACAAAAGGTTAGAAATAAACAGAGTGTAGTGGTAAAATTTTGAAGCGCTTAGGACGATAGCTTTCTCGCCCAACTA